TTGTGTTATTCCTTCTTTCTCGGGGATTCTAGTAATTTAAGAATAGTATAGCCATAAAATACATTAAATAAGACTTCCAAATGATATGAAAGAAATGTGATATTTCATAATTTTAGTATTTTAAATAGCCTTTCAAAACTGTCCCACGAAAAAAAGCAATTACAGTGGCTCAATTTCGACACTCTCTTACATCTCCAAAGAAGCTTTGAGAGACGTAGAGTTCTTCTTCCATGCATCACACAGCTGTGTCCTCCTGATCGGGCTATAAAGACTTGCGACTTGTGGTATTGTTTTTCCAGCAGACCCGTAAATATTTGTATCAGCGGCACAGGAATACGAAATTTTTCAATTTCGCTGACGAGTGTATGAGTGAAAGCTACTTACTTAGATGCTAAACGATTCTTTAACATGATTAAAGTTTGGTGTTTTGTTGTATCTGCATACAGAAATTATTGATCAGAATTATAGTTTTCTTTATAATTTGAATTTTTGATACAGTTTTTTAATTCCGGTGGCGCAATTTCGGTGGCTCCGGTGGCGAATCTATTGCCAGGATTGGTCTTATTGGCTCTGGAGCATTGTACCTAGGTCTACTAAGGTCTCAGTCATAACTACAATATCGTCAGTTAATCGAAGTTGTGTGATGTACTCGCCGTATCTTGATACTGAGCTCGGTCTAGCTCAGAAGCTTGAAAACCTCTAAGTGGGAGGTAGTGAAGACTTTAAGAGATTATGGTGTCTCCAACTCTGAACCCTCGCAGCAATCAGATAAGTTTCGAGTTGTGATCTTGGGGGAGGGCTGATATGATGAAGTTTTCATACAAATACTTCAGAAGTTGCATGTTCGTTCGTTCGTTTCAGCCAAATGACGTCCACTGCTGGAAAAAGGCCTCCCCCAAGGTTTTCCATAATGAACGATCCTGCGCTGCCCGCATCCAGGCTCTCCCCGCGACCTTTACCAGATCGTCGGTCCACCTAGTAGGAGGCCTGCCCACGCTACGTCTTCCAGCCAGTGGTCGCCACTCGAGAACTTTCCTGTCCTAACGGCCATCGTCTCTACGAGCTATGTACCCCGCCCACTGGCACTTGATTTTAGCGATTCTGCGAGCTATGTCGGTTACTTTGGTTCTCCTGCGGATCTCCTCATTTCTAATTCGATCACGTAGGGAATCTCCAAGCATAGCCCGCTCCATCGCCCTTTGGGTGACCGTGAGCCTTCTTATGAGGCCCTTAGTAAGCGACCACTGATTTCATAAGCTCAGTTGTGATTTCATTATCTCTTGGTTCATACCTTGTTGTTTTTAATAGGGCATTCTAATCTCGCTCAAGCTTAAGTCTAGGATATCTTCGCTAAAGTGTCGGGATAATCTCGATCTTCAGCCTAATTACTAGTAGTGCTTCTTAATCTCTCCTAGCAGCTTAGGCATTTACCAAAATAGTTCTGCTATCCTCATTATTCATGTTGGTATATTCAATTTGGTCCTCGTAAATACATACTTTCGATTTATTACAAAAAATCGTCTCTATAATACACTTTGTATCAGCGTAAGGACTGGATAGCTATTTATACATCGATACTAAGCAGAATCTTAAAAACAGATGAGAATAGTTCTGAAACAGCTAAAATTTCCCTAGTCTCATAGGTTGCAATCTATTCTGCCACTCGAGCTGAAAATTCGTGGGATTTTGGAGCTGAATTTATTGGAACTGGTCGTGGCTTAGACTTCATCAGTCGACATCTTTTGAGCATCTTTTATTCGGCATTCTTCTATTTCGGTGATCACTTCTTCTTCTTCCTCGGTCCCTCACTGATGAGGATCGCGACCGCAGATAGTGTTCCTCCATAGACTGCGGTCATAAGCTGTGTGGTGATCGGAGAATGCACATGTGATTAAATTGCTTGTTCGTCTAAAAATGATTACTACATTTTGATTTTTGCAGTACTATTAGGGTGCAGCTCAGTACGCTTTTACAGTTCTGGCATGTTTTGCTAGGCCTTCTATCTCCATGAGGCTGGCTGGATTTAGTCCTCCGTTTCTTAATTATTCTACTTTCATTTAACTCATCATGAAAACTTGGCTAGCCTGGACCAACATTTTTACTTATGGAAGATAAACCTAACACCAACCTGGGGCAGTTGGTCGCCCTCCCGGGACTAGAGTTGGTTTCTGGGTTTGAGGGTCATGTAATATGATGTCTTTGTGATGAGTCTAGAATAACGGGGCTGTTGGCAGCTAGAGCCAGAAAGTTTTGGATTTGTTCTCTATGGAGGGATTTTGCCGTTATCACCATGCTTAGCAGGCTGGTTGGTAGTTCCAGTATGGTAGTATAATACCTGGAAAGATGATGCAGCCCATCCTCCAGTATTTTGATTGCTTAGTCGGCTCTTACGACTCACATGGGAAGATCTGATGCTTTTTTAGGGTCACAATACAGGCCTGAATATTGTATTTAATTATAAACATCTTTACTGGATAATAATACTTACTTGATTACAAATAAATAAGTAATTTGAGACAATCATCCATAACATTCTGAATTCCGCTGTATAAATAAATTTCGGTGGATTGGTTCTTAATTCCGGTGGTTCAAATACAATTTCGGCGGCTCTTGAGAATTTCAAATTAACATATCTCGAGAAGTATTAATAATATTTTGATCTCTACCATATCATTGAATAATACAAGTTATTTCCTATTATTTCTGCCACAAAAAAGTTTTGGAAAGTGGAAATTAAAATTTGCCACCGGAATTAGGCAAAAATCGAGTTTGTTGATATTCACCCAAATAGTTTAGTGTTTTCTGCCTTGGTGGCGATCAATTAATGAAATTATTGTTGTCAAAGATCTAATCTAATACCACCAACTTGACCAGTAGAATGTTTTCGCTATAAATTAATGGAAAGGAAACTTACTAACTTAGCTTTGATCGATTAATTCAGGTGGGAATTGAACCCACGAGCATTGACTCTATATTTTATCATATTTCCGCTCCGCTTATCGCTTAGCCGCTCGCTCAGCTCACCACGGTCAATATTACATAACAGCATCATCAGCTCTTATTGGATCACAGGTATACGATCGGCTCGCTGTTACACTTCACGTGCAATCATTTTCTTGTCGCGTTTCTTGTTCACAATGTGTTCCTTGTCATGTTGGGCGACGTTGGATTTATATGAGATGGTGGGAAAAACAGCAGAATTAAGACTTAAGTAGCACACTCATAGTACTATAATACATCTTATTTGTCTCAGTAGATCGTCAGCAGGTCAATAGGTACTAAATGATTCCGTAGGTTGCAAAAGGTGTTATTTAGGTCCTGTAGGAACTGCTGATACCGTTGTAAACAATGAAACGCGTAGAATCTATTTTTATGGCACAAAACCTCTACAAAAGAGTCTGTGATTCATCCCTTTCTAGCTTAGTACGAGTAGATATAGGATAGTAACTCGTAAACTTCTTGAAGAACTCGACAGTTTAGCTATCCTTCTGTCTAATCTTCACTAGACAGCTAAGCTGTAGATACTTGTTGTAAAAAAGTCGTAGTCACATAGTAAATACTTCGTAGTAGCCATTGTTAACCATTTCAATATGCACATGTTATGATACCTAAGAAGTTAGTAATGAGTATTAATAGAAACCCAAACACAAAAAGCTGGACCTTATCACCAACACTTGAGAGAATAGCAAATGTCAAGTCAGCCTCATTTTCCAGTCGGAAAAAAAGAAAGATTTTAACTGCATTCTTCCATCAGCTGCAATTATTGTGTAACGGACACGATGGTTACTAAAACATCAATGTCATGGTTACGTGAGCTACTAAAAATAAATATGCAAATTTTATTCCATTAAAAACGGTAATAGCTCACTCAAAATGTTTTTGATTCATTAGAATACATCTTTTTGACTTACCTGCCTCCAGAGCCTGTCTGTCAACATCTTTCCAAAAGATATTTTGACAATTAGGGCTGGTTGAGATATGTGTTTAAGGTCGCTCTACCCTTGCTCCTTATAATATCTACCTACACATAGTGCATTATTTAGCATCTAAATGATATCTATTTAATCTTGTTTTGAATAAGACAAAATGTTTTTGAATCACTGTGTTTAGTTTCGTCATCTAGTCGCCTAGTAAAAGCTCTGGTTTCAAAACGAGACTCTCCCTAGAGTTTGTATGGCAAAGCGAACTTATGAATGATATCACATTTCGCGGTTTGCGAAGTCAATCGACTATTTTTGATTTCAAAGAAATGTTTTTTTAGCTAATTGAATAGTAACTGGTTTTGTCAACAACCCAATTCAAGCAACAAATAGCTCTCAATACAAATTAACATCTTCTAAATCTCTTTGTTCCTATTCTATAATCGTACTCTCTATTCATCATTGTCTGACAACATTCACAGTTTATGTAGTGCAGTGACATTTGTCTTAAGGTTACTCTGTCCTGCAAGCAATACTTCTATTGCATTAAGATTGACAGTATCTGACCTCTTTGTAGGTTTAATATTCTCTAGTTCGCGATGAGAAAATATCAACTTTCGTCATAGGGTCAAAAAGGTAACATATTTTTTTTATAATTGTAGCAAAATGTTAAGCTTAAAATTCCAGAATCACGAGAAAAACTTAAAAAACAGCTTTTTTTTCTAGTTTTTTCTACGGTTACTGAACAAGATACATACGATGCGATGTTTGAATAAGTAGGTCATATAACAAGAGTAAATATTGCAAATGCGTATGATACAGTTTAATATTAAAATGGAACAGATTCTGTACTGATTGATCGGTAATTGGCATGGTAACATGTAGGCTCATCAATTTTTTCCGAAAAAGAAGATCGATTGACCGTTCATCTAGTTCGTAAATGGAATGTTCAAAATGCAAGTTACAATAAATTAAATACATGTCATTAGTGAGCCCAGGCATTCACCCTTCTTTGGACGAATCTCGCGTGTGGGAGGGACGGTATATAACGTGATGGCTACTGGCCACTCCACACAACCAGTCTTCGGCGTCAGACGAAGACACGCAGCAACATGAAGTTCTTGGTGAGTTGAGTGAAGTGCTGTGATGTGAAGTGTCAAATTAGGGCGCGGTTTTCGAATTTAGAACGCGTTTAGAAAAAGTGATCGGTTTTTTTTTCGGGAATGAACTTTTTTAGGTTTAATGGCGGCTTTGATAGTAACCAGTGATTTTGTTTTATTAAAAAGTTTTAAATCTAATTATTTAAATGAAACAAACCGGTTTCATTATTATTTATTCTTTCTTTTTCCACGAATAGGTTAGTGGTAAGAAAGTTGTTAGCTTAAAACGCTCAATGTGTGTAATTGATTCAAAACACAGGGCAATTACCACGGTTCTCACGGAACATACAATTTTCTCAGTCTTGTGAAACAGGTTCCGACTAATGTAATTTTCTTTTCACTTTCTAAGTACAAAATGTGAAAGTTTTCAAATTGCCCGTTTCTAGCAAAAGTTACGGTTACATACGAGATAATAATTATATCATATATTGTTCATAGATAATGTGCAACAGATCGATAAATGTAATAACTGCTTTTAATGCTAGCTTTTAGACTTCATCTGTGTAGATTGATATAAAAAATAATCTTACTCATTATAGCTGTGTGCTATTCTCGTGTCAAAGCTAAGTTTGATTAAAATCCGTTCAGATTTTTTTGTGTGCAGGCGAAACAAATGCCTCAAAAGTTTGGCGTTTATTTTATTACTCAATTAATCTAATATATCCCTAAAACATCGTCTTTTGTTTTTAAAACAACTTTTAACAGTAAAAAAAGTTTATTCCTCAGTTTATGAAATCAAACAAAAACGAGGCTATAACGTAATTATTGATAAGTCAAGTTATTATTAATTGCGTGTATGATCTACTTACCGACTAATCAATAATTAGTTATATTGTTGCAAACGTTCATGAAACATCAACTTCAATATTGCCTCAATTACCTAATCTAATAAATGAAATAAGTATTTACAATACTTTGTAACATAAAATAATTTCAGTCAATGTTTAGGAAAAAAAGATCTTAAATATATCGTACTCAAAATTATTATTTTAACTCAAAATTATTATTTTAATCTACATTTACATCAATTATTTACAAGAATAAATTAGCTTATTTCAGATTAAAAACTGTTAATAGTTTAATTCTTTTGTTCACTTATTGCAAACCATAAACAAATAGAGCAACTCGATCTGAGTATCGATCCTCGCCGTACCGATTACATCTTGTCAACAAACATCGATACATCGATATAGCATAACCGATTGCATAATCGATTATGCCATACGCGGACGACATGCTCCGGCGCACATGTAATATTCTCAGAACACAATTAACATGTAATTTTTAATTGTGCCACACATTGTTACTGGCCACACTATACATATAACTATCGTTACATTAAATTTTAATTGAAATATTTCGGTAATCGTTGTTCAATTAAGGCTTTGATTTAAAGTGTTAGTTCCATATTTTTTTGCATTTCAACTATGTTATAATAGTTACGAAATAATTGAGTAATAAGGTGTTTATTATGTTAGAAAAGACGATGCTCATACACATTTTTATCGTGTCTACGCTGGAAATTATATTTTTTTGTGAATATGACGATATAGTATGTAAAATATGTAAATACAACAAATTAGCTCCCAAAATGTTAACCAGTTTAAACTAAGCTTGTTGATGTGGTCAATTTCAATTATACAAACACAAACAGCTCAAACATCTTAAATGGGATTAGATTACTGATATTACTTCACACTGCCATTTTTCGACATTATCATATCATCAATGTAAATGAATGAATAATAACTATATCCAACTAAGACTCTATGTAATTTTACGCCGTGACTGTACGAAAAATTATGCATTCGATGCAATAGTATTTCGCTAGTAAGCATATATTTACATACCGTTTTCTATTTGGGGAGATGTTATGAATTTGAAGAAGGTCGGGCTAGTTTCCTAGTTTGTGTAAGTTAAAACGGATTAGAGCACGTGTTGGCAATAAAAATACCATTACAATGCTAGTAGAGTCTTAACGAGAGGTTTATTATTCAAGCCTGTCAAAGTAACCATCATTTTCCCTCGTTTAAGGTCATTTCATCTGCATAATGCTTAAAATACGAGTACTTATACTTTTATACAATTTTCCACCATTAGACGTAAAGTTAAGAAAAACAAATTGTTCTTTTTTTAGGCTGAGTTGCACCAATTTAATCTAACCGTAACTATAACAAAAACCGGTGCTTTTTGTATGGAGTTTGACAGATTTTTGACGTTTGTTAAGGTTTAAGTAAGATGATGCAACCCAGCCTTATTGTGCGAGCTTTTAACCTAACAAGAAAGCTTTTAACTGAAGTAAAAATCACAAATATTTATATTGTTGCTTGTTTGACATGCTATCATCATATTAAGTATACAAAAGCGATGTTTGGATCAAAAATATTAATCTTGTTGCTGTCGTTTCTTAATCAATTTTATGTAAAGTTTCAAAGCCGATTGCATTAAGGCCTCTCGCAACTAGAAAGTCAGAGTCATTGTTACTTGACTCTTTGTGATCATTCCAAGTAAATATACGACTGTATTGGTTTCCTTTAGCTCTACTTTACGTAAGCATGTCTCGACATATCTGGTATAATCTCAGCTAGACTTTGTGAGATTTATTGCATTCTGTGATATAATTTTCCAGGAAGGCTGTGCTTGTTTTGACAAGTTGTGGCAGGCTGGTTATTAGATGATTATACGAGATATTTGCTTTAGAATAAGATGCTAATTTGGCTAAGGAACATTAGGACATTTTCATTTTCTTTTCACTATTTTTATACTTTAAGACAAAGGTATTAAGGTAGTTAATACAAATACATTACCGAATGTTTATTAAGACGACAAACTTACTTATCAGTATAAATCAATAAGTAAGTTGTTAATAGTAAAATTAGAGTAATATACTGCTCAAACTTTTAAAGGTTGTATGCATTCCTATTTCATTAAAACAATATTATTATGGTCCTGAGAAGGCATTACATAATTACTCATAATCGTGATAATCGAGAGATTAAACACAACGACTTTAAATAACGTCCTTGTCAACTTTTATCATTTATTATCCGATTATGAAACAAAACCCCTAACCATGATCAATATCTCACAAAAACAGCGTCCGCTAATAAATTGCGTGACATACAACTGTAAGCTTTTAAAGCTCTACGTAAAGCTTCTTATCGCAAAGCTCTCATTGCGGCTATGATCTAGTTTAGTCAAGTCACTTTCACTGTCTTTCGTAATTAAAATGACCACTTAACATGTTGTGTTTGTTACTTACTATAGTTAAGTTTGATGGGTCGCGTCCGTAGAGCAAAAAGAAACGCCAGTTAAAATCACTATAATTACGCTAAAAGTGTGCATTCAAAGTTTTTGTTTACATTTGTCGAGTCTAGTGGCAATTTGGATTTCATTCATAGCTTCTTACGAACTGCATTACTAATAATTAAATAAATTTATTTCATATAAAGCCTATCAGTTCAAAACGCGTATACTGTTTAATACTCGTACTTTCTGAACCTGTATTTGATGCTATATCAAAATAGTGTTACAAATTAGTTTCAGTCCACTTACAAAATGGTTAATTTTGAAACGTCTTTTGTTTTGTATGCCAAATTATGCAAGCTAGCTTTAATTCAAATGAAATTAAGTGAGCTGGTTGTTCCGTTTGCACTGTATGCACAAGTTAATTGCTCCAATTGTTTACGTTCTAAAAACTGGACTAATTGCATACACATCGTTGCGAAAAAAAGTTAAATGTATGTATTGTCGACTGACAATAGGCCTTCAAAATGATGACAATTTAAGATTAAAATCTGGATGAAGTTAATTTTCTTGATGAACTTTTTGTTTGTAGAGATTACCAGACGTATAGGATTATGATTCACTTTATTTTCTAAAGGTTCCAAAGAAACTTCAATTGATACTCAATTTCATAATAATGTCGATACTATCAACACCAATTACAATTGCCCGATCATTATTAAGATAAGTTTAACTTGCCATAAAGCTCAAAGTCTCTCGCTCAAGCTTTCGTGCTTCGCCCGATTAGGCTGTCACGATTGCGCTATAAAACAATCGAAAGTATGTAAAGTAAAACCGACCGTGGAGAACAATAAAATGCAAATCGCTAACCAGTTTCCGTTACTGCATGAAACGTTAAGATTAGCGGTATTATAAATTAATTACACTCAGGTATTTGCTATTATTTCCAACGAATACGTAATCGACATTCTAAGAGATTAGGATAGAAAGTCGGGACTTAGTATTCCGTGGCGCGATCTGATATCGCCCCAGTTCGTATTCAATTGAAGTTGTTGTTCCGCTATAAGGAAAATGCACGTTTTAGTCACATTTCTTTAGCCTTGTCGTTATATAAAATCATCCACTACTATTCAAAAATATAGAAATACCAAAGATATGACATTACTAGGTGAGATATTCGTATTGTACACGTTGAAATAACAAGCTGCTATGCTAAGATTCCATGCAATGTTTCGAAACTTGCATCTGTATTATTTCTTGTTTGATTTTAGTAGTTGTTACGAAGATCGAATAAGCTTTAAATAGGTCATTTAACTATGTGATAATACTTTTGATACAATATTCCCTATTTACTAACGGGTGTGTGTTTTGTTGCAGGTTGTTATTGTAGCCTCATTGGCCGTGGTGGCCTTTGCCAGCGAGGAGAAAGGCGCACCCAAGCAGGCGGCGGCCGAAGACAAGAAGCAGGAGAAGCGAGGCATCTACGACACCGGCTCCTACGGCGGCGGCGATGAGGGCCACAGCTTCGGCGGATCCGAGGGCCACAGCTTCGGCGGATCCGAGGGCCACAGCTTCGGTGGCTCTGAAGGCCACGGCTACGGCGGCTCTGAAGGCATCAGCCAAGGAGGCCACGAGAGCCACGATTTAGGTGGCTACGGAGGCGGTTACGGAGGCGGCTACGGAGGCGGCTCCAGCGACTGGAAACCCATCGCCTCCGACCACCACCACCATCACCACCACGAACACGTCAAGACCATCGAGGTCGTCAAGAAAGTGCCCGTCCCCTACACCGTCGAGAAGCATGTCCCCTACACCGTCGAAAAGAAAGTCCCCTATGAAGTCAAAGTGCCCGTACCCCAACCCTACACCGTCGAGAAGAAGGTCCCCGTCACAGTCAAGGAGTACGTGAAATACCCGGTTTACGTGCCTGAGCCTTACACTGTAGAGAAGAAAGTTCCCTACGAAGTTAAGGTGCCAGTTGACAAGCCGTTCGAAGTCAAAGTGAAAGTACCCACCCCTTACACCGTTGAGAAGAAAGTGCCGTATGAAGTCAAGGTCCCCGTGCCTCAGCCCTACACCGTCGAGAAGAAGGTCCCCTACCCCGTGAAGGTCGAAGTTAAGGTTCCCCAGCCCTACGAAGTCATCAAGAAGGTGCCCTATGAAGTCAAGGTGCCCGTCGACAAGCCTTACAACGTGTACGTGCCCAAGCCCTACCCTGTGCCAGTCGAGAAGCCTTACCCAGTGACCGTGCACAAGCCAGTGCCTTACGAAGTCAAGGTCCCCGTCGACAGGCCCTACAAGGTCGAGGTTGAGAAACCTTACCCCGTCCACATTAAGGTGCCAGTGCCCAAGCCTTACGATGTGTACAAGAAGGTACCTTACACCGTCGAGAAGGGTGTGCCTTACGAAGTCAAGGTCCCCGTTGACAAGCCCTACCCCGTGTACAAGGATGTGCCAGTGCCCCTCGTGAAGGAGGTTCCCTACCCCGTCAAGGTGCACGTGCCCGTCTACCTCAAGAAGGAGGAGGAGCACCACCACGAGCAGCAGCACCACCACCACCACGGCTGGAACTGAGCGCAATTAGTTTTTTAGGTCCCACACCAGTACCTTATTAGGCTAAGTTGAAAAATGTGATCTTTTAGTATTTTAGTGTATGTATTGCAAAATCAACTCTCGGTATTGATCGCTCGCGCGTGTAAGGTTCCTGTGATCTGGCTGGGGATTCCCCACGGTCCGTTTTGGGAGAATACATAGTATACCGCATAGCATAGTTAACTGTGCGCGGTGATTCAGTTGTAGATATTTTAAATCTGTTATACTTGTTTTAGCTTTATACGCTTTGTTTTGTATGTATCAAAGTACATGTAGTACTTTGGATTGAGGCTGATTAATAAAAGAATGTGAAACGTTTGTTGTGTTTTGTGTTATTTTCCCCTATAGAAGTAGTTTGTTGTCATTCACTTTTTTTAATAACATAAAGATTTAATAGCTAGTCGTATTTTTTTTATTAAATAGGAGAAATTCAAATTTCAAACTAGTTATATTTGTTGAATACTGAGGTCTTTGTAACTTACGAGTAATGAATTAGAAAAAACTTTGGCAAAGTAAAGCTAGCTAAATAAGTTATAAAAAGAACAATTAGAAATACATATGAAAAGAAGACTTGATTAAAGAATATGATTTTAACTTCACAGAATAAAGTTCTTAAAGACACCACAAACCTAACTATAAAGTTAAAACTATTGCATTGCAATTATTTACGAGTAGTGAATAATTATTTAAGTGTGACTTGGTTCAAATCGTCAAAACTCAAAGAATAAATTTCAAGCTTGAATTTCAACTAAAATAGATTAATGGCAACATATAAGTTTAAACTGCCAATTAATATTGCATTTAGAAATATTATGGCTCCATTTTTATTACAATTGCAACACAATACATTGTTTTGTTTTTATGAAAGTAGGTACGTAACGTGTAATTCTGGTCAAGGATGCCTTTGCTGTATGAAAGTAAATAAAAAAGCAAAGCAAATCTAGTATTATCCAATGCGTGGACAATAAAAATTGCTGGCCTCGATCGAACCTGAATATGGTTTAAGAATGTAAAGTCGATAGCTTTTATTTCAATTGAGCAACGGTCATATTTGCGCAATCTTGATTTCTCATTTAAAATCAGTAATTGGTGCATTACATGATCAGATATGTGGTGCTCTGATGGCTTGTAGAGATTGCGCTGGCTGCTGATGAAATAACTTCATGGTGTAGGCCAGGGATGGCGAACCTTTATTATTATTCTAAAAAAAATGTGTGATGTAGCCATAGGCGTGCCATCAAATAACAGCTAATGCTATCAATGAGGGGTATCGTACAAGTAGCGAGTGATCACTAGCACTAAAAACTTTCGTCTTCGAATCGTTTGAGTATTCGACAAAATTCGATTCCAATTCAACGATCTCGATTTTCAAAATTGGTTTCATGCTACCATTTCTCATACTAAGTTCACTTTACGTCACGTTCACAGGGACGCTGTTTAAGTTTTCATACTAACTAAATCTTTTGAAGGCGATTCGAAGACGCAAACGATTCGAAGTCGAAAGAGGTACGAACCTTACTCTACATCCACTAACTGCTGAGGGCAAATACATTTTATTTCATAGTGATTTTTTTTTATTGGTGCCCTAAATATTGTGGCACGTGCCACCAACGGTACGCGTACCATTGGTTCGCCATCTCTGGTGTAGGCAAATGGTTATGCAGATTGACATTATGTAAAACAAATGCAGTAAGATGAAGCAGTTCACAGAAGCGTAACAGTGACGATTAGCAAATCATGTTATTACCTATTTCATAGAAGTGCTTTCCTAGGGGTAAGACGTAACATAAGAGAACTCTAGAATATTTATTTTGTAAGAACTAGCCGAGCCCGCGACTTCGTGGAAATGGTTTTCCATACTTTTGTAATAAAATGTGCTTCAGAATATAAGGAAGTATAAGTATGTGGTATCAACAATATTATGCTACTCAGGATTTGTTTATTAGGTATTATTAAATTAATTTAAAAGTGCAAATTGGCAAAATTAATAATATCATTTAAAATATACAACCAATTATCAAGTTTTAATTAGTCTAATTTTCCGATATAATAGTTTACATAAATAAAGAAAATAAGTAGCAAATCAGAGCGATTAAATAACTTCAAAACTAAAATTAATAAATGATCATCAAGAGATAGGCTTATGCACTCTGATCAATTATGTATTTTGACCTCATTTTTAAGTAATTTTAATATTCATAATGCATGTCAATTAAGTGAATAATATTCACTATTAGGATTTAATACACGAGTGAACAAAATCTGGTTTGCAAATTGTTACTCCCAGTTTCCGCACTATCCATTAAAAAGGTTAGGTTAGTGGTACATCTTTAGTAATGCTGTATTGAAATTGGGTACAAATAATGATTAGAGTTGATGAATTGATGATTAATAATATACTTAAGTTAATTAATCGAATGAAAATTGACACGACTTTGAAACGTTAACTCAATTAAATTCGAATACTTACATATGAGCAATAATACTTTGTAAAGGTAATTAATGCTTCTAAAGCTAATATTGATGATGATAAATTTCTCCCGGATTGACTATAGTTGCATAAGTTATTAGATACATAAAAGATGAACAAAATGAAAATGAACTACTGTAGATTTAGTAACGTGTGACAGGTTGCATTTATCTGTTTTAACTAATCAAGTACTATTTAAACTAACTCCACGTAAAATTACAGCTTAAACTAAGTTAGAAAGCGTTTGAAAGCAAAAGTGGTTGGACCACTTAAAAGTGCATAAAACTATAAAGTTGTAGCACTTCCTTCCGCGCAGTAAATGGCTGTTTCCTAGCGCTAGTGAGAACTTGAATTGCAGTGTGGACTTGTTGGACTAGATCACTATCGTCGCACACCGGGCCACTAGTGGCTAGTGGCTACTATAAGTTGAGAACAAAATCTCAAATCTGTGTGCCAAGAAGACAGAATTTCCATATTACGAGTACGTAGTATAGGTAGTATTGATTAACTATCCAGTCTCTGTGATAGATTCATTCCTGTGATGAGTCTAAATAATAATATGAACATTCAATTAAAGCAATCTATGCTTATGCTATTAAACATTACCATACAGCAGCGTAAGACCTCTAGCACGAAGAGGTGGCTTAAAGCTATATTGCTTGCAGTAGCAAATAAAATAGTCTGAGGACCAAATCTTAGTGTTTGCATTGGGGTAGAGATAGACTGATGTAGGGGAATAAGTAGGGTTAGTCTATGTTTGAGCCACCAGCAATGTGTAAAGCTTTCATCCACCAACTGATAGCCACCACCAGTGGCTAAATGTGCGGTAGCAACTCACGTGCAACATCACGTGGACCAGGAGAACACTAATTACCTACAGGTAACATAGCTCGAATACTTATACATAATATACTCGTATTACTCGTAAATACAGCCCATATGTTGTCCCAAAGTGGTGGTAGGGCAAGCTATATTTGATACGTGTATAAGCGCCCTGGAAAGGGCCTATGTACTGAATAACATATTTGATTTGATTTGATATAATAAAAGGCACGAGGCTATTAAGAGATCCTCTAAGACCCGAAACTGCGTTAAGCGGACGCCCGCGCGGTTTCATACGAAAGTCCCCCGCGCGGGCGGCCACGACGGAGCACTTTGTATGAAACCGCGCCGGTGCCCGCTTAACGCAGTTTCTGCCCTTAGGTGTTTTTTTATCATTTTCTGCAACTTGAAATATGAAAAAAATGGTCAGTTTATTAGGTCGCGCGAAGTACCTGGATGCGGGCAGCGCAGGACCGGTCGTTGTGAAAATCCTTGGGATAGGCCTTTGTCCAGCAGTGGACTTCATTTGGCTGAAATGAGAAAGGAAAGAAAAAAACAATGACAAAATAAAATTAGGCAAAAAAATCTTGACTACTGATGCAGTGTTTTAAATGATAGCTTTTGAATGTGAGACGGGTGGATATATTTATAAAACATGAATTTTAGATTTAATCAGATCATTAGACGTCTAGATCTATCAAAGGTCAATGTAGCGTTAGTGTGTTAGCATGTCAGCGGATTTAAAAACTGCAAGGTATTGAGCAAGTGTTCTTGGGTGACTTGCATTATTCAGATGCGCCTGACATCTCCATCCATAGGATCCATATTGATGTACCGATCCAATATTAATGGCGCCAGATGGCAGAGACTGCGGTGGTACGCGGGAAGATCTGAAACAGAAGTACGACCTTATCTGAATTCTACATTTTATTTTATATTACCTGTAGGTAAGCCTAGGATGCGCGCCGATATACTTTTATCGCGCCATTTTATCGATCTTATAAGCCCATACATTTGTCGTCTAAAATCTTCGATAAGATTTTATCGTGGCGCACATCCTAGCCCGGCTGGTAGACAAGACATGATTGAGGTAGAGTTTTATTTCAATAGAGTCACAATGATTCGATTGCGATTCAATATCGTTTTCCCTTAGCCAAAAGATAAGTGCAGTTTCAGATCTGAAGGATTAAGTGTAGAATGCGACTTTATCGAATCGAAAATAACGATTGTCAATCAACTACAAATTTGGTTTTGTCGCAAAGATATGACTCAAATACAAGATTCGTTTATGAATGTGTTTTTATTCGCACAGTCATGATCTCATGATCCTCAATTTCGCAAATATTGCTGACTGGTATTTTTTCATTTGGCTCTAAATATACTCTTAAAATGTACCTACCTACATTTTAATACATTTACGATACTAATTATTTTAAAATTGCAAACTTTATTCATAAGTAAAGGAACAGAAAGATCCTGGCTCACAGGAGTATAGTTTATTTTTATACCTATTGGATGTTTCATTGAAAAACTTAAAACACAGTAAGATAAGTCCTTCTGGATCCAGGTGTATTCTCCACTTTCGATACCAATACTAAATAATAATGTGCTTATGTAAATGTTAGTTAAATAATATGTAAATCTTGTTGTGTGAAAACAGACGTTTAACTATAAGGAAACGTTAAATATTTCGCTTGTTACGATAGACGTTAGCCATTTGCATAGTTACAACAATGAATATAGAGCCAAAGATAATGATAAGATGCGTCTGACATGATGGCTCAATCGTTTTATCTGTTGTATACTGTGATAACTTGTTAATGTAACTTGTGTTGAGACAAATACTTTCTATTCTATTCTATTTTGCTCTCTTTTAAGCCACAGAGTAGATAAATACGAATAGTACACATGTCAAGGACAGGATTTAAAAAGAAATTAAAAAACAAAAAAATAAAGATGTCAGACTTTCTAACAAACACAATACGGTTTTTCATTTTGGTCTCTTCGTAACGAATTATGAAGAGAA